AAAAAAAAAAAAAAAAGTGCATTAAAAAAAATTTAAAGGCGCTTTCAAAGGAAAAAATACAGCATTCTGAAACTGTTTCAGTAAAATATTCGAAACCATGCTGAGCCCTAGCCAGTCTGGCTCAGTAGTTAGAGCACTGGCCCTCGGACTGAAGGGTCTGGGGTTCTATTCCAGCCAAGGGCACGTACTTCGGTTGCAGGCTCGATCCCTGGCCCAGGTTGGGGCACATGCAGGAGGCAACCCATCTATGTGTCTCTCTCACATCAATGTTTCTCTCTCTCTCTCTCTCCCCCTCCCATTCTCTGAAAAGCAATGGAAAAAACATCCTCAAGTGAGGATAAAAAACACACAAAAAACACCAAAAAACAACACGCTGAGATATGTCATCCACTAATTGGCAAGGCTGGTCAGGAGAAACTGATTATAGAAAATGACCTTCGCCATTTCCTTACTGCGTGGATCTCTCCCAAATAGCTATGAGGTGACTCAATAAGCAGAATCTTTCCTGTTACTGCAGGACTGTTCTATAGGAAAGGATGCTTAAAGTCAGTCCCACAAAAAGTATGAAGCAAAAATTAAGTATTTCTATAAATTCTAGCCACATATGTGAATCACTTGTCTCATAAAATGTTCCTATGTGAATAAAAAATAATCCTTAGACTCAGTGATTTGGCAAAATTTTTCTTGGCTGGAAAACACCCAGTTCTTCAAAGTTTGGGTATATTTCCTTTACTACCTCCTTCCCCCATGTTTTCCCAGCATAATATTTTAACTAATATATTTTCCTCCTCAATTCAGTAGCATTTTATGGATCCTTTTATGTGTTTTCATTTCCTAAGAAGAAAGGAAGGTTCACCACAGGGGTCTGTCAGCGAATGACTTGACTAGCAACCACCTGGGTTCTAAAAAGCAAATTAACAGAATTGTGCTTATGCAGATATTAAATTGCAGGCATTTTGTGTAATTGCCCAAGATAGGTCTGGCTTACACGTGTTCTGCTGGAAGCTCATAGGTTTAGAAGTTATCCTGGATTTTCCCATTAAAAATTATTTTTTTTTACTGTTGTCATTACTAAGTTTGGCAAACCTCCACTTTGTACTTCCAACTTTAAGATAGCAAGCTTACGAAGTATACTGAGAGTGTATTTTCTCAACTAAAAATAATACAGTCTGCAAAGAAGAGTCAATGGGAAGTATCAGCACTTTCAAATATATTAACCATAAAATGAATTTTTAAAGAAGGTGGCATGTAATTTTAGGGGAAAAAATAAAAAAATTAGACCACACTAAAAAAAATACTCCCTTCATAAACAAACATATTTAAGACAGACAAAGGTAAGAAACTGATAAAGTATAAGAATATGTACTGCCCGGCTGGGAGTGGCTCAGAGGCTGAGCGTCAATCTAGGATCCGGGCGATTAGGATTCAATTCCTGGTCAGGGCACATGCAGGGGTTGTGGGTTCGATCCCCAGTCTGCGACGGGTTGTGGGTTCGATCCCCAGTCTGCGACGTGCAGGAGGCAGCCGATCAATGACTCTCTCATCATTGATATTTCTATCTCTCTCTCTCCCTTTCCTTTCCTCTCTCTGAAATCAATAAAGATATATTAAAAAAAAAAAGAATATGTACCAAGAGTATTTACTTTATGCTATTTTTTAATGTTTGGAAAATCAATATAAAAATACGTTTTTAATATGGTTTAATATAATTTCTTGAAGTTTACAGTAGTCATGTGCCATCAACAACAGATAGAATATACAAGAGTGTATATTCTATGGCTTTCCTCTACAGCTTTGCCTTAAAAGTATATATCCTTAACAATTTCAGTTCTGCCCTTTTATTTGCACTTTATACAAATGGGCTCATACAGTAGGTACCCTTCTATGACTTGCTTTTTTCACTTAAGATTGTTTTGAGTTGATGCTTAAAGCTGTACTTTCATTTTCATTTCTATATAGTATTCAACTGTATAAATGAACATTTGAGTTTTTTGTAGTCTTCTCCCTCTATTTTTCTGCTATAAACAATCTTGTTACTATTTCCTGGTATACATGTGTGAGAGTTTCTCAAAGTTGTTCAAACCTCGGAACGGAAGTACTGGGGAAGGGTATACTTATACTCAACTTTACTAGGTGATGTCAAACTACTTTCAAAGTGGTTATACAGTACCAACTTATAGTCCTAGAAGATTTAGTACATAACAATTCATGTTACTCATTCCTGTTAATTGTTGGTATTAGCAGAGGTATTTTTGTTTTGTTTTCTTGCCATTCTGGTGAATGTGAAATTGAATTTCACTGTGGCTTTAATTTGTATTTTGCTAAATTATGATAAGGTTGAGCATCTTTTCAATGTCCATTCACTGGCTAATGATGTTCCTCATTCTGTGAAGAATCTGCTTGTCATTTTAAAAAAATATATATTTTATTGATTTCAGAGAGGAAGGGAAAGGGAGAGAGAGAAACATCAATGATGAAGTTGCTGATTGGCTGCCTCCTGCACAGCTCCTGCTGGGGGTCGAGCCCACAATCTGGGCATGAGCCCTTACTGGGAATTGAACCAAGAACTCCTGGATCACAGGTCAATGCTCAACAGCTGATCCACGCCAGCCAGGCCTCATTTTTTTAAAAAATAGATGCTCTTAATATAGTCTGGATACTAATCTTTGTCAGTTATATTTTTAAAAATCTTTCCCATTTTCTTTCAACTATCACTTAGTTTATTATTATGATATTTTCCAGGGGAAAATGTTTTGAAGTGTGTTTTATTTAATTTTTTAAGGAATTGACTTCTTTGGCTTGATTTTTCCTTTACAAAGCAATAGAAAGCCATTTCCTTCAGAGTCATATAATGAAATTTGACAAGAGGCAAGAAATTCCAGGTTATACACTAAAGTTTCCCAGAAGCTTCAATAAAAAGCAAACAACCAGTGCTCATTCTATCTAATGTCACTCAAAACTCATCAGTAGTGTTCTTTCATCAGGTGTTAACATTCTCAGATTCTCTAACTTGATTGTACCGTCCCTTTCAGCTCTCTTTCTCTATTGAGGAATGTCTAGGTACTGAAAATGGTCCAAGTGTTAGTAGGAGAAGCTCAGAAACTCCTCAGGAAGGGAAACTCTGGAAGCAGTGCTTTGCTTGCCTTTCTATCCCTCTATCCCAGGGAGAACCTGTCCTCACTTGCTTGTGCTTTGACATCTGTCTACTGGAAGGGGAACGAATTCTGAGTGATGAAGAGGTGAATCCAGTTGCTAGAAAAGTATTTTAAATTTATACTGTGTCTACAGGAATTTTTTTTTTTAATCCTCACCTGAGGATGTTTTTTCCACTGCCTTTTAGAGACAGTGGAAGGGGGGGAGAGAGAGAGAAACATCAATATGAGAGAGACACATCCGCTGGTTGCTTCCCACACAAACCCTAACCTCGGCCAGGATCAAGCTTGCAACCAAGGTATGTGCCCTTGACCAGAATAGAACCTGAGACCCTTCAGTCTGAGGGCCAATGCTCTAACCACTGAGCCAAACTGGCTAGGGCTACAGGAACTTTTTTAAATCCCCAAGCTAATGTAAAATACAATTAATAAAAAAGTAACAGACAATTTACAAAACACAGGAATAGTTTTACTAAGCATTAAATCCTCAGTCATTTAAAATATATGTAAGCAAGAAGTTTATACATAAACAAAAATTAGTTTTGCCAGGTAAGTTAGGAAGTAGAAAACTTATAAATTTGAAATTCTGGCATGTTCAGACTGTTTAATTCTTCATCCTTAAATTCACTTTTTGGAGTAACAGTTTTCAAGTTTTAGAAATCCCTGGGAAGGCTTGATAAGACACAGACAGATTCCAGGCTCCACCCTCAGTTTCCTGACTGACTTGGTCTGCAGCAGCACTGAGGATCTGCACTTCTAACATACTCCCAAGTGGCCTCAGTCAGGAACTACACTTTGAGATCCATTGCTCTAGAAAGCTCTCACATCATGTAAACTCAGATAACTAAGTCTTCCACTCTTAATGCAGCCTATCTTGTCCTATTCACAGACCAAAAAAATTGTTAAAATAGTCCCCAAAGTCTATAGGGGCTGTTGCCACAGTATACTTTCCTTTTCACTCTGCCACTGCTTCACTTGATTTCAGTAAGTGTTCTCTGGTTCAAAACCCCCATATAGACTCATATTACC